ACACCTAGTAGCTAGCAGGCCGGAGTTTTTCCAGTGCAATTTTCAGACTTTTATCTGGAAAATCTCTGTTAGTTAAGCTAAATTTATATCACTTTTAGTGTAACTTATATTTATAGTCATAATCAATATTATGAACCTATGAATAAGATGTATAAGTAATTCTAGTTATAATTTTGATTGATCTACTTATGCGAGATGTGTCTAAAATGCTCAGGTTGGCCTAGTTGTTAGATTTTAGAAAGACTTTATGCTGAAATGGTCATGCCTCCAAATTGTCATGCCTGGCTGATCCTTACTTGATAGATATTGATGTAGACATTAAGATTAGTGATCAATCCATACTATAATTATTATAATCACCAGAATTACGATACTAGACTAAGTCTTAGTACTTTATTTGTCTAGGTCTTTTGACAGTACGAAGCGAAGCGTTGAAAAAATTGTCACTCATCCATTTTTATCAAGTGAGTGCATAGTCCCTTTCATGAACACGATTTTAATACAAAGTATTAATTAAAGTATTAAATATCTGTCAGAAATTTTGTATGTGAGCTATATGCTTATTTCCTGGATTATGTGTTAGATATATATTTGTAGATATACCACATACGAACCATATATGGTTATATATATGGAAGTGATTCGTACACAACAATTTTTTGCCATAGATAACAATGTATGCATAATAGAGTTGTACAGTACAACATTTTAAAGCACCAATTGTTGTGTATGGAAAAAAAATGTTGTGTATAAATCATCTCCCTTATATATATATATATATATATATATATATATATATATATAATATTATATATATATATATATATATATTATCACATGATAACAATAATAAAAATATTATTAGAGAGAAGAATAAAAGGATATTAATACCTAAATACTCTATGCTAATATTTATATACACCAAGATAGATTAGCGTTGTCTAGATAGAGTTGGTATTGGTAGTTTAATAGCTATGCATGTTAATAAAGATAAAACTTATTATAGATACCTAGTTCAATAGTGGGTAGTCTCGTTCGGGATATGTGTGCGTAAGTTAGGAACATACAATAGAGTTTTGTTCCTTGAAACTTTCAGGTGTTGATGTTACGAAATACTTACCAGAGTACAAATCGTATTCATTTTTGAATGACTAGGAATGGTGGGTCCAGATTAGACAACAATAATGGTATGTGTGGTTATTCTTTAGGGTGACCAGAAATGGTGGGCCCAGATCAGACAACTGTAATGCTATGTCTGTATAATCCTTTGGGTGACTAGAAACGGTGGGCCCAGATCAAACAACTGTAAAGGTATGTTTGGTCATCTTCCAGATGAAAAACATTTGATTCATCAGACAGGACTAATCCTTCATGATAATTGTAAACTAGGATCTGTAAGGATCGATTGGGGTGGGTATGTTTAGGTATGCAGGTTTATAGATATCCATGTCGAAGACACATCTATATATTATTTGGTAATAATTGGTTTTGCAGTATTAAGATACATACATACATATATATATATATATATATATATATATATATATATATATTAATATATATATATATATTATTTGGTAACAATTGGTTTTGCAGTATTAAGATACATACATACATACATATATATATATATATATATATATACATACATACATATATATATATATATATATATAATGCACCAATAAGAATTTAATAAGCATTAAATGGTATATTAAGTGACATTCATACTTATAATTCTTTTTATGGAAACTAATTAAAATTGTCATTAATATCAATAATAATATTATTTCAGAATGAATTCATATATAGAATAATAAGAGTGTATTCTAGTAGAACGAGAGTATATTCTACTAGAATATACCTTCATTTTTCATATTCCATACAACTTTATTGTATGGGTTATTAAATAATGTTATTGCTGATATAAAAACCTATATACGAATTCATTTTGAAAGAATGTTATTACTGACATTAATAACGAATTTATTTAGTTTCCATAAAGAGAAAATTATAATTATGAATATTATTTAATATGCATATAATTATGGATACCATTTAATATCTATCATTATTTAATTAAATAATAATATAATTTTACTAAATTTCTATTGATGCATTCTAACACACAATAAATGTAAGAAACACTTTAACCTATCCCTATATATCACTACAAGAAAAAGACCCTTTTTACGACGCGCAACACACGATGCTCTTTGATTTATGTTACGCATTAGAGAGCGACATTAAAAAAGGGTCATCTCTTCAAACATTTTAAGGATTTAGGTCGCACATTAGTGAGTGCCCTTAAATTAGTTTCTAAACAAAAAAAAAACACGAAGGGCACCTATAATAAAATGTGTGTCGTCTAAATACGTCGCTTTATAAATTTTAATGGAATGTGCGTTCCATCCGGGGGAAAATGAAATCCTAAAAAATTAAAAACCCCGCATCTTTTTCTTCTTTCCCTCTTCCCAGATTATCGACGCTCCTTCCATTTCCTCTTGTCTCTCTCGGTCGCTACCTAGGGTTTTTATTGAAAGCTTGAATCAATCGACTGAGGTAACCAAAGGTGAAGCGAACTGGGAAAGGGTTTTCAGTGAATCTAGTGTTACTCTTTGAAATCGGATCCAATCCTACCTTCGCCCCATCCTTTTTGTCTCTATCAGTTGCTACCTAGGGTTTTTTGTGAAAGCTTGAATCGATCGACTAGGGTAACTAAAGGGTAAGCGAACCAGGAAAGGGAAGCAATAAATCCAACACTCACTCTCAAATTGATTCTACTGGACAAGGTTTCAATTTGGGGCTCTCTACATTCTCGATTCTACTTTCATTCAAGCTTACATTGGTTTTTTTGGTATACAGTAACCGAAGCTTACATTCTCATCGATTCCACTTTCTCTCTCTGAACAAATATATCTCATATTCTCTAAAAGCCCTAAACTAGCCACTGTCGACCATCACCTCCACCATTGTTCACATCGTCCTACACGGCTAAAGTCCAATCCTTTTTCCTTATCCGGTTCAGGGTTCCTTGGCGCCATTAGTCGCAACATCAACATAGGTAACCATCTCCATCTCCATATACATCCGATTTCATCTTTTTTCTTCGCTGAAAACCAAATTCACCATGTTTTTCGGCCTAACAGGTGGTCAAACAGCTCTAGCACTACGTCTACTGTTAGCCGCATTCTCTTCCAAGATTTCCTCAACATCAATCGCCCTTTTGGTGACGAGGTATACAGGAAAGAAAAGATGTTATTCAAAATGAATCCACACCAGCTACTCATCCGGTTAAAGAGTATCACTGTCATATTCTTTAAACATATTGTTCTTTAAACATATTGTTGTTCATCAAGTTTAATAGTGTTAATATTTCACACATTATGGAGTATCACTTTCATATTCTTTAAACCAGTCACTGTTTATCAAATTCAAAGTGAATCCTTAACAACATTTTCAGGGAATTCCCTTGTATGGATGATAGTTCACAGTGTTGCTGGTAAGCATACATTGTTATTTGAATCAATTTGTTTGCACTAATTCATTTTGATGTGTATTTTTTGTTTCAACTTTGACTTGGAGTTCACAGTGGCTAACAACCTAGTTGCTGTCAGCACTGGAACCTTGATGTATCAGATGAGAACTAGTTAAATTAGCTTCTTTGCAAGGCCTAACCAATGGATTTAATGGTTTTTTTGTGTAACTTGTTAGTTTTATTTGGTTTAAACATCTTTATAGACTCTTTTATCTAGAGGGAATTCTTGTGAGTTTGTCATGTGGCAGTGGCTGGATGTAATCAACATTAATAATAGTGTGCACACATGCCTATGAATTTCATTTTGGTATACATGATGAATAGATTTTATTACCCCTTCTATATGTGTGTATCCATGTGAAGTTTTATTTGATAACTATTGCACTTTATATGCTCAAAGTTTGTTTCTTGATGCAGGTTTTAAGCAAGGATAATTGATCCACCATGGGAATACTGATGCACTCATGTTGTTATTACTAAGATTCAAGTACTGGATTTGTACTCATTGACCAATACTACCTGGAATCGACCCGTTCAATCTATTTTTAGATATATCAAGTACTTCAAGGAGTTCACAAAATCCAAGCTTTAGAGGTATACCATCTGAAAGTTGGTTGGCAGCCAATGACAAATACAACACCCTTTTCATTTTTCCAAACTCCTTTGGGATCTCACCAATCAAATGATTTGAAGACATATCAAGTCTTTGTAGTTGAGTTAAATTTCCAAACTCTGGAGGAATAGAACCACTAATTTGATTGTTGTTCACCTTAAAATCAGTGAGAGACTTCAACTTCCCAAGTTCACTAGGAATAGGACCAACACTTTTGTCCCTGTTTTCATGTGGCGTCATGTCCATCTCCATCCATTCACTTCCAACAGCTATAATAAATTAATAATACTTTTGGTTTATACAAAACTGATTTTATTTATTATTGATTATCAGGGCTAAATTTGTGGGGGACGTGTAGTCGGTATCATGGATGGCAATGGTTGTTGGGGGGGGGGGATGGCTATTGAGTTTATACATGACAGACCCCAAATGGTCTATGGTTTTAATGATAGATTTGGAGATGTAGTTCTTTAAGCTTTTAGATAACCTTAAGCAAATCACAGAAACTAATCAAGTAGAAATCATAACAGAAGTAGATAAAAATATCACAAAAAATGGAACACTTACAAGAAAAAGAGGACAGTGATTGCTATGGGTGATATTAACAACTGATGATGCTGTTAAGGCTCACATGTCCAACAGTAGTAAGTTAAATAATAACTCCACTTGTTTTTATGATGTTTAGTTGGTATATAACTAAATATCACACGTTTTCGTGTTTCTATTTTCTCATTTAGAAACCAGCAAGGTTAGCTCACGAATTGGTAAAACATCATCAATCAATCTGAGTCCATTATACAAAATTATCAGAGGTTAGTTATATTACATTCATAATCATGTAATGTAACAATGCTAAGTGCCATTGCACTTATGTTAACATTCATGATATCAGAGTTCAAGAAACGTGAAGTCAAGAAGTATTGTTCTCCACCCAGTTATCCAGACACATCTAAGGATGATTCAACAGGTTTGTTTTCTAAATAAACAATTTCTCTTACACACTACATAGGAATCTCTGATGTTAGGCTTTATATTGGGTATCAATACTTAAGTGGAAAGATTTGTTTCATATTATTAACCATTTTTATATATTTTTAATTGTTAGACTTTTTTCTGAAATAGTTGCATATTGTTTTCACATTGCTGATTCCATTTTCTTTTTTCCAATTAGAATGGCAGGTCTTATACACTACTCAATTAACACAAAAAGCCAAGAAATTTCACGATGGAATCTTAAAAGTTTTAATTTCTGGGTTGCGGGGGAGGCAGGTTAAATTTCAACACATTTTGATATACCCACCAAACAAAATTACACATTTTCATAGTTTTTTTTGTTTTTTTTTCCTTCAGGCGATTCTGTATGATGAAACAAGGACACAATTAGACAGCAGATTCCTTAAAAAGGAGGAAACGATTACAGCTGGTGAGTCAATGAAATTCGATGGTCATATAGTTGACATTATAGAACTCAAAGACAATAAACCTCTCAAAGATACAAATGTTGATGGAAGAAATTGCTATAAATAGAATATAATGCCTACCAAGAATCACAATGAGCATCTTGTTGGTTTGTTCATCTATTCCTTTTGTGCATTTTTTGGTGATTGTTATCTATCTTATATATGTTGACTTAAATGTTGTGTTCACTTCTGCTTTGGAAAAAGTTGAATCTTGGATCTTTTCACGAATTATCGATTCAGTCTGGTGGCAGGTTTGTTGCATAATATTAAATATTAATGAATTTTTTTATTGTATAAGAGTATAAGTATGTGGTGATTGAGTTGGTGCAGACACTTACTCCATATATGCAATCAACGGCTGCAAGGGGTATTGTTAGAATTTTAGATTCAGAATGTAGTAGAAAAACATCACGTGAGCAAGAAAAAGCAAACTTCGTAATGGAGCTATGGAAGACTGCTTTAATGGATGCTTGTGAAAGGATTTGTCATGTTCGAGCTGCTGGACATGATTGTGGTTTCTTGCCAGTGCTTTCTAGATTGGTAACTTTTCATCTGATTACATTATACGTATGTGTCTAGATTATACAATATACATAGAGCTTAATAGTAATTTTTTTGGTTGATAATGTTTAATAGGTAATGGAAGAGTGCATGGTGAGATTAGATGTGCAAGTTGCATTAACAGAATTACAGAATTACCGAGAAGTCATGAAACCTGCTATAACAATATATTAGGTCAAAATTGGTAAAAGTGAAAAAATTGTCTTAAACTTTTATAGTTTGATTGAAAAAAAAAATTAATCATTATGCTAATGAGCTTTAACCATGTTTAATCTATTACTATTTTAGTTTGCAAAGATCTAAAAAATATTGTTGAGTTCAGGCAAGTTCTACTTCTCTTTTTCTTTTTCTTTTTCTAATTTCCCAAAGTAGTTTTTGATTCTTTTTGCATTAAGTCTCTTAATAATAAACTTGAAGTGCAACAATAACTAATGAAGACTTTTAGGAAGAAGTGTAACAATTACTAATGGACCATCATCATTGGCTTACTGTGATTAGTGGTGTCTTATCAGGTCTGTTGTTTTCTAAGCATCTTGCTGAGCTGGCAGATTTTTTTGTTTAGATAGTGGTTTGTGATGGTGGTTTCTTTGCCTTGGTGGTCGTTGGTATGGCTGTTATTGGTGTTGCAATCCTGTATGCCACATTCTGTGTGTTGGTTAGGTGTGGACACACCTGGATGAACGAACGTTACTAACTGTGAGTCTCCATTTAGTATCTTATTTAGTTCTAGAACATGTTCATTTTTTTTTATAATGAAGCTCCATGTTTTAAATGATTAATGACACTGTTAAATGTTGTAATTGTTTGAAATCCAGTTTAGTAAAGAACCTGGTAAACACTTAGAGGAATGCAAGCTTAAGGTCGATGCTCCTAAAAAGAATTTTGATCCTAACTCTGTGAGTTCAATGGCAATTCCTTTTCCACTTTCCGGATTCTAATATAATCCAATACAATTGGAATGCATGATTCCATTCCATGATACGGTTGGTTGCAAATGGACAAAATCTAATTTAGAATCCTTCACAATTGATGAATTTCACAATTCAGATGGGAATGTGGAGTTTTTTTATAAAAGACCAAAACACCCGTGTATTAAAATAAGTTAAATAGAAGGTATTGTTTTATTTTCTTATTATTTATTCTTTGTGTTTATTAAAAAAAATAAAACAACTTTAATGAGTAGAATTCAAAGGCTCACAAAACTAATACTTGTTTCTTCAAAAAAGCACAATTCCTAGGTTAACTCATCAAAGGAGTTTCTCTGCCAATGAGGATGATGTAAGTTATATGACCTTTTCATTTTCACTAATTTGTATATCTATAGAACTCGAGATTAATGACTTTTTTTTTCAAAAAAGTATCCTAACATTTCTTCTTATTACCATACTAAAAAAATATTGAATCTATGTTGTTGTTTTGGTTGTTAGGCTGAGAGAGAATTGCAACCATGGTTTGCTAAAGAGGATTGTTAATCTAATTGTTGAGCTAATATAATGAGAAATTACAATACCCCTGAGTCATTGGTAATTATGACATGCTTGTTGATGGAGAAGCATGTACTCTACCACAACTCGAGGTATCATATATTGAGTAAGATGGGCCAATGTACAACTGCTTATCCATATAATCAGCTTTTTGGAGCATTAGTCTTAAAGAATTATGAAAGGCAATATGCAACTTTACTTAGTTGGAATTTGATGTACATAGTAGATTAGATGCAAATTTATATATTGTAAAAAATAGAATTGTATGACATTAAATTTATGCAATGGATTTTATTTTTTGTATATGATATTTTATTTTCTATTATGAAACATTATATACAAATTTAATTTGAAAATAAGTAAATCTATAAATAATATTTTTTTTAACATTTAAAATTATGATACGCAAAAATGTATGTCATCTTTATTTATGACATGACCTTTCTTGACAGGGGCTTTCTTGATAAGCATTGCGTGTCATTAACACGCGCGTTGTAAGGTTACGACACGCGAATGCGTGTCGTCTTCCTTTATGACAGGGCCTTCCTTGATACACATTGCATGTCGTAAACGCGCGTCGTAAATGCGCGTCATCTCTCTTTATGACATGGCCTTCCTTGACGCGCATTTGCATGTCGTCTGAGCGTTTTATGACACGCAATGAGCATCGTAAAAGGCTGTTTTTCTAGTAGTGTATATATATATATATACACACACACACACACACACACAAAAATTGTGGAATTGAAATCCCTATAGTCACCAGATTTTCCAACTTGACCCACTCAGTTTCTTTGTATCACAAGTAGCAATACGATGATACTGATAAATAGTTATGTGACAAGAGATTTAAGGAATTTGTAGGTTGCAAGAATATTGATGTCACACTATATAGGAATTCCAAATTTGTGTCCCAAATATCCAATATGATATATTGGATATTTGGATCATCATGCTCTAGAATGTTAATTGGCTCATTCATACCCTTAATCACGTTGGACACCTCACCCCCAAATTACCACCATTTCCCTTCCCTATATTCGTTATGGTTGAGTGAATGTCATAGAAGCAACATGAGTTTTATTATTACAATCAAATCCGGGCAACCTTTTCAAATTAACAAGTGCGATTTCCTAATTCATATAGTGTTAGAGAGTCTATTATGTTAGTGTACTAACTTGGAAAAATGAACAAAGGCAGAGGGTTATTCTAAGTTTAGACATTCTGTTTGCAATTAAAACATCTACCACTAACCCAAATTTGACACAAGTATTTCATATCCTGTTTTAGTAAAGTTTGTTGGACAATTCACAAAATAAACATTTTTTGATACTTTTGAAGCATTGTCTCCAAAACTCCCATACACTAACCCTCCTTGTTGTTGACATAAATTATCACAATCAGAACACCTAATAAATCAGACGATGATCGATCGTCATTTGAACCCGTCAGTTTAAAAAAAAAAAACAAAACAAAAAAACTATTTCGCCACCATCAATATCAATTTATACATGAATTATATTTAACATGAAATTTATGCATGTTGGCTCTTTGAACTATAGATTGTTTTTAAGAAAACCCTAATACCTTATCTAAAAAAATCAAAATATTAGATTGTTTCCAAAATAATCTTAAGCTTCTTCATGTTTCTTGATATTTTTATAAATAAACAATAATTTTGTTATATTATGTAGATAAAGATGACAACTTTTAGATAACTAGTATTATTTTATATACCTATCTTTTTTGACAACTTTGACTAAATCATGTATATATCTATCAATAATATTATATGGGGAAAGTTAGTTATTGGTCGGTATAATATTTGTTAAAATAAGTTTGTTTAAGTACGTATACTATTAGGTTAATACGTTTTATGCTAAATTTTATACTAACAACCTAATTTTTCATTATTTTATTTTTTTAAACAAATTTTTTTATAGACTTGTAATATATATATATATATATATATATATATATATATATATATATATATATATATATATATGTGTGTGTGTACGTGCAATTTTATCCAACAAGTTTTGTTATTTCTCATTAAATATCAGCATTATTCAGATTTTGATGGAATTTAAACAATAATGTTTAGGATGTCAACAATGTATTGAGTTCTATAAAAATTTAATGGAACAAAACTTTGTAAAAAAATTATTTATCTGTTAATCATTTTATATTCAAAAAGTTTTATCTTTTGAATAAACAATTCAAAGACAATATTCATGGAATGTTAATATATATGACATTTTCATTATGATTAATTTTGATTCGCTGAATGTGAAATAAACAAATATTATATAATATTTAACCATTTTTAAAATTATGGAATGTTTTTACATAAAACAAACCAGATGTAGTTTGTTATCATTTTTATCTTTTATAAGATGAATAAAACTTACCCATATTAAATTATTATTTATTATAACTTGTTCAACATAAACTTATTGTTGATATTTTCTATATGCTTTAGTACAGAATGCATGTGGTTGTTGTCCACTACTACGAGAGACACATGTGAACGGATTAAAAGTTAACTTTTTGAAGCACAAAGTTATTCAATCACCACGACCAAAAAAACGTAAAGTTATTTGTGCCTCTTATTTTGGCGCACTCATCTGTTAGTTTAATGAAGACCATCTTGTCTATTTCCTACCTTCCCCTTATTTTATTTTTCAAAACAGAAATCTGTTTTGTTGTTGTTGTCGTGTTGTATTCGTATACCCAAGAGCTTAATGAGTAGGGCAAAAACTAATGATTTATTTCATAAATCTTTCTCTGTTTAATGAGGAGAACTCAACCCATCAAATCATAAACACCACATAAATTATTCGTGATTCATTAAAATCAAAATAAACAAGATTATGTAATTAAGTATCAACCAAACAAGCACTCAAGACCAATTTGTGTTCTGGTGAAGAATTAATCTTTGATTCTTAATAAAAGTGTAATCAAAACTCAACATGCATGATGATTCACGAGACTAGCACCCAAGTTATTAAAAGGTAACATTAATTAATATGGCTCCTAATTTGATAAGAATGATCAATTATAAGATGTAGCAGAAAAAATGATTAACTTGCATGGTCTGAAAGGGGATGGTAGGTTGGGGTGCATGGTGGGCACCAATAGTCATTATACTAAGAGTAAGTTACATGTTTGGTCTCTATAGTTTCATGAACGTATCGTTTTTAGTCCACAAAGATATGATCTCTATTTGTAACTTTTGTAATAGGTTTGGTCCCCTGCTCTAACCACCATTAAATTAGAACCGTTGATAAGGTAGCTACCACGAAAATTTACATGAAACATGTGTTATTAATTATTGATGTCAATGAAGATGGAGCTTTCAATTCATCATCTCGCCGTGGAATGTTGTAGATTTCAAATATTTCATATCTAAGATCTAAGATTACAACTAGGAGTTGATAATCCATCCCCAAGTTTCCCACCATAGAACTCATTCACTATGCAATTCATAGCACCCCGAAGGCATTGGTTAACGTTATAATTACCTGATTAGTCTTTTGTAGTTTTGTGCACTACCAGTCCAAACACCTTTCAATATACCATCAAATAAAGTTGATTTATGTACGTATTTCTTGGAATGATTGGAAGCTTGAGTGACCATTTCATCCTATACTAGTTTCGGCCTATGGTTTTCTTTTCAAATTTCAA